TTTCCTGTGATCCATTTTCTAGCTGCCACTCTTGTGTATGTTTTTTGTGTAGGTTCTCTAATCTCTAATAATGTGGCTGATAATGTTAAAAACCAGACATCACTCTCTTGGGTAGTATAAAGCAGCACTGATCAAGGGCAAGCTTTTCATGCTTTCTGTTCTCACTGAACCTGGTGAGAAGCAGCCAAAAAGTTCTGTCATAGTCAGGTGTCAAACCTGGAGCAAATCTAACTATGTTGCTGCCAGGAGAAAGGCAGCCCTGCAGTGATGCTGTAAAAGAAGCAATGTAAGTGTTAATGCAATTAACCCATTACCTAGACTCAGTACTTTTTGATTCCTGGGCAGTGCTGGGTCTTGCTCCCTGAACATTATGACCAAAGGAATTAGAAAACATGTAGAGGAAACTGAAATGAAAAAGAAAAAAAAAAAAAAACAAAAAACGGTGTTTTCAAGAGCTGCAAGACTAATGACATCTATTGATCTCTTGAGAGTGAGATCCCATGCGCACGATGTCCAGTAAGGGGTGAGTTGACCTGCATTGTCCTGCGGGGTGGAGTATTGATAGCATATATTTAATCTAGTAAAAAACCCCACAAAATAAAACAATGAAAAAACACCCCACCACCACCAACAAAACAGGGACTGTTCTCCAATCTTGAGACCAGCTGAGAACAGAGATCATACCTAAGCTCTATGATCTGCTGAACCAGGCTGGTTCCTGCTCCATGCATCTCTCTTACCTGTGTCCAACATTGCCTGGGGCAGCATTATCTGGTCTATGGCAAAAACATGCCAAGGACCATGCTTGATGTACCAATGATGTACCAAAGTTCAGGCCTTATTCTCTCATTGACTTACTGTAAATGTAACTATAAGGCCATTTTCCTCTATGCAGTCATGACAACTTACAGAAGTTTTGGGTTTATTTTAGAAGAAGATTCAAGCTGACTTTCTTTGGGAGAGACAGAATATTTTATCATATACAATACCTGAGCTGAAAGAATCATAGAATGGTTCAGGTTGGAAGGGCCTTTAAAGGTCATCTGGTCCAACAGAAACAGCAACAATGTGGGGCATTCATTGATCTATGCATCCTTCAGATATGAAACTGAAACATCGAACTTAGGCCAAGTGAAAGTTGCAAAAAAAAAGTCAGTATATTTTAAGATAATTGTGTTAACTCTGGAGAAAAGTGGCAAAAAACTCAGTAACACTAAATCTCACCAACAGCTTTCAGTACCTTTTTTCTCCTCTTTATTATCTTATCACTTGGTAAGAATAAAATTAAAACAATTTTTTTTTTTAGCAGATGGATTCACAACAGCTTGTGCATTGGGACATGTTTGGCAGTATGTGTCTGACAGGATTTTTTCTATCTCCTAGAAAAGTTCTGCTAAATATTCATGCATTTCCCATTGAAAGAAACCTGATTCATGGCCAAAGCAAGGATTTGTTAGACAGAACAGGAGGGCTCCTTCCTACCTGCTCTACCTCTGATTCTTGCAGGTTGTGCTTCACACCTGATCTCTGCAAACAGATGCTCTTAAACCCAAGACACTTCACTCTGGAAATGGATTATAACCTGAGATATTGCCAATTCATTGCATTTAAAAAAAACAACACAACCTTTTAAGAGTTTTGTAGAATTTGTAGTTTGTAGGAGTTTCTCATAGTGTTCAGCAGCATCTATCAGAGATGGCTAAAAAATATCTCTGCTTTTAAAGACGTTCAAAAGAAAGCATGAATTTTTCTTTTAACATGTTTTATTCATCTGACAAGAGATCTCAAGATTGCGGTTGCTATTAATGAAAAACACTTTTTATTTTTTTTCCAAGAATCAAAAGGTGTTGGAAATGCAAATAAACAATTCTGAGATAAAAATGAGAAGAAGAAAAATTATCAAAGAATGTAATTTGTTTAAGAACATTTTCATTAAAAACTGCTTTATAGTCTTGTTATCTGCTGAAACCTTTTTTTTTTTTTTTTTTTACACAGTTGTAAATGTGGAGACGGAGTCACAGGAAGGGATCTGATTTGCCTGGGTACTTAATACCAGCTGCTGATGAGCTATTTGTGCCTGGGGTCAGGACAGATGTGTGAGGAACAGAGACCAGAATGAGCTTCTCTGGGGGTGGGAGCTGTCATTAGGAAGCAGATTGTCAGCACCTGCTTCAGGAAGGACGACAGGAGAATTCCTGTTGGAAGCGGCCTCAGAGGGCTCCAGCTCTGCCTCCTGCTCACAACAGGGGCAGCTCTGGTGTCAGTCCAGGCACCACAGGACTTCATCTGAGACAATAATGAAACCCTCCCAGGATGAAGGCTTCACTGTCTTTCCGGGCAACCTGTTTCAATGCTTGACTGTCCTCATAGGGAAGGATTTGCTATTTATACCCAGTCTGAACCTCTCCCCTTTCAACTTAAACCCAGAGTCTTTTATCTTCCTACCAGGCAGCAGTGTGAAGAGCCTGGTTCCGTCAGAGAATCGTAGAATAGTTTGGGTTGGAAGGGACCTTAAAGATCATCTAGTTCCAACCCTCCTGCATGGGCAGGGACACCTCCCACTAGACCAGCTTGCTCCAAGCCCAATCCAACCTGGCCTTGAACACTTACAGGGAAGGGGATTTTTTTGATGACCTCACCATAGGAATTGGGGGTGATCTTAGGTGATCTCCCCTAGAAACCACCCCTTCCCTCAGCCCCTCCGCTCCCCCCATCACACTTGCCCTCTGCTGAACTTGGCCCAGTTTATCAATGACTTTCTTGTACTGGGGAACTCAAAAGTGAGTACAGCATCCAGATGTAGGGTAACAAGTGCTGAGCGCTGAGAAGCTGTCTCCTAACCAGTTGACCATGATGAGCCTGTCATGGTCTAAGAGATGTGTGATGTCACTTTTCCCCCTGTTCACTCTATCCCTCTGCCAGTGGCTGCTGCCTACAGCCCTCAGCGACAGAAAATACATATGTGCACTTCAGCTGCACCAGGGCAAGCTGGGTTTGAGAAACAGCAGTGATGAAGAGCAGTACATGTTCTGTGCCTCCCTAGCTATGGAGGGTAGTAATTTCCAGTGGACAGGAGGGCTGGAAAGTATCAGCTCCCATGTAAAGTACTTTGGCCATAAACTTCAAAGCACTTCCCCAAAGGAGGTTGGATTGCTATTCCTGTTTTACAAATCAGGAAGCTCAGGAAAAAGGGAAGAAGTTGTTTTGACTGAATTCATGTAGCAGCTGCTGGCAGAGGCAGGCAGAGACTCTGAGCAAGACCCGTACACTGTGTCACCAGGGCACCAGGTGCCAGTGCCCAGGGGACCTGTGGTTCCCTATTCCTGTGCTGCCTCTCAGGGCAGGGATCAGTCCCTGCCATCTCCGGGTGCTCCACTACACAATGGGAAATTCCTACTTGGAAATCAGGCTGGTGACATTGTAACAACATTCTTCAAACCATACAGATTTATGGCTTCAAAGCAGAAGTGCTGATCAGAAATACCATGAATTAGTCATAATCTTATCAAAAATATTTTATTTATGAACGTAACAATTATACTATACAACCTATATTGGAAGTACATTGAATAATTGCTAGAATAAATACAGGCAATTCAATCTTTTTATAGAATGAGAGGATTTATTTGACATTTGAATGTTAACCCAAGCTTTAACTTACATCATAAATAGTTAAAAGGCAGTCAAGTATTATTTTTTCTTTTTACTGTTTCTTTTGCTGTTTTTTTTTAATACTGTTCTATTTTGTAATCAACATGAATCAACTCTCCAATCATTAACATAATATTAGTATGACTTTCAAGCAATCATGTACCTCAAGATAACCAGACAAATAAGGTAGTGAGTGTGCAGTTCATTCTACAGCAGAATCTATTCGTGTCTGCATAAAAAAGAGAAGCTGAAAATGCTTCTAAGTTCTTTAAGCATCATATGCTGATTTCTGCTTTACCACAGTGCTTTTAATACCAGAATCTAAAAAGGGCATGTATCTGTATGCAGCTGGCTCTCTGTTGCTCTTTATAAAACATATTAGGGCTCAATGCCACATTCCTTTGGCTGGTGAATTTAGTCCTGAATATTATTTCTCAAAGTCATGGTCCAAAATAAATGTCCAAGAATCATTATTAGGCACCAAGGAAATGATGGATTTGCTAATACTTGATGTTTTCTGACTAAAAAAATGGCTTCTTTTCTGGTAGATATGCTTTAGTCAAACACAAATTATTTGGCTCAGTACTGGGGTCTCTCTGACACTGGATGTCAGAGCTGATCTTCTATGTCCTGTAAACTCTGTGAAGGGCACTGCAGAAATTTTCTAGTAAGACACCCACATTTTGAAAATGTTGATAACTTTTCTTTCCATGTACTTTTTTTAAACTCAAAAATCTGAACTACTTGCTTGGTACTAGCAGATTATGAACAAGTACGACCATCAGTGAAGTCAATAGTAGTTTTGGGTGTTCAGTATTTCTCCAGATTGGAAATTCTTGACTTCTCAGGTCCCATGAAAAATCAGTGGGAGCTTTCCTATAGCCATGTCTTTTCCAAAGGCATCAAGGCCTGCCTTGCCTTATGGCTATTGTGCATGCCAGGGATATTGCACTCTCAGCAGAGAAGCAAATTTCCCTTGTACAATGTTATCCAAAACAAAACCCAAATTGCACATATCTACCCCTTTGGCCTTTTTCATGCACAAATATGCTTTTATTAAAAAACTGACAATGTTGGGCCTTTCCAGATAAATGCCTTGAAAGAGAACATTTAAATGCTTTTTCACAGAAATAACCATTCATCAGTTGCAAAAATGCAGAGAGATTTTGTATTCTTTCTGTTGTGAACAATATCAATGCAGAGAGACGTTGTATTCTTTCTGTTGTGAACAATATCAATTCAGCACAAATTTTGGGTGAGGAAGCATGATTTTTTTTCTCCTAAATGTATTTTTAAAGGCTAAAGAACAAAATGTTGGGGAGGCAGCTTTTTTTTTTTCTTTTTTTTTGGCAGATAGTAAAATATAAAATATGTGATTTAAAAAAAAAAGTTGGCTTAAAAATACACACACACAAATAATACAATAATATAAAAATACAGCTCAGCAAATGGGCTCTTAAAATTTACCTTTGGCATTACATTTGGCAGCCTAACACAAAAGACCCTTCCTATAAACAGAACTATAAAAAAGAGAAGTTCATAAATTAAGTTGCAAGGGGTTGTAAGTTCCATTTTCTCGAGTCACCAAACTCCTTTCCTTCCTGTCCACACACATAAGCATGACCAGTGAGGTATATAGAATGTAACACTGTCAGGCATATGCACAATAAAAAAGTGCATAAACATAGAAGTTCTCCCATTTTCTTGCGAACAGGTTGAAACTGTGTGGTTTGCATTCCCCCCCCCCTTGGAAATAAAATTAAAAACAACAACAACTAAGTTTTTGTTTTGTTTCATTTTGTTTTGTTTTCTTACTTTGGCAGGATGAAAATGAACCCAGAGGAATATAAATGTCCTATTCCCAGCAGCAATGATCCATTTCCCTTGGCAACATCCGTCTGATGCTGCAGATACTACGAGCTCGTTGGGTTGCTTTACAACTCTGGGTAACTTCCCGCGGGAACATCATACGTCTAGCACCATGTCATAGTGTTGCTCTTTCTTCCGCCTGCCACATTTGGTGATAAGAACCAAGTACAAAGTCAAAAGCATCACCCAGTAACATGCATAGAGTATTGTGCCGATGATGAGAACTGTCTGTTTTGACTCAGAAAATGGCTTTTTTGATTCCTTGTAGATAGTGAAAATTACACCACCGAGGAGGATTGTAAACCAAATGGAGACTGGAATGAGTCCTATAAAATTAACTACAATGGTTTTTCTTCCTGACGTGCCCCACCCTGCTTTGTTTATCGTGGCAATTGCAAACATCTTTGCTGGCAGTAAACTTGACATGTACAACACTGAGTAGAGTGACATGAAAACCATGACAATGTTGCCCCTAAGGAAGCTGGCAAAGGAAGACTTTATCAGGCCCACTAACTGAACTGTCAACAAGAAGAGGAGGATGTTCCAGATTTTTCCCCTGTAGAAGAGCTGAATGACTGTGGCAATAAGGAAGAAAGGAAAGAATCCAGTGATTACAGCTTCATAGGTCATCCACAAATGGTGCTTGTGGAACCACATCGCGTTGTAAAGCCACTCTCTAAAGTAGGATTTACTCCAGCGGGTCTGCTGATTCAGCCACCTGAGATACTCTATCGGTGTTTCAGTAAGGCACTTGGATCTAGCTGTGTATTTTGTTGCATAGCCCAGACTTAGCACTCTATTAGTTAGATGCCTGTCATCTCCAAAGCTGCACTGGGAGCCCATAAATTCTTGGTTGTACCAATCTTCCACGAATTCATGGAGTAAAGAGTTTCTGTACATTCCCAGAGGTCCGCTGATGCACTGGACACAGCCAAAATAGGACTGGCAGGCTCTCTCTATGTTAAATGCCATCCAATATCTCACACTGCTCAGGAAGGATATCCAGGAATCGTATTTGTTCAAAATCTGCAAAATACAAAAAGTTTTCATTTTAGACGAGCTCCTGAGAAAGAAAGTACCCACATTGGATCAATAAGGAATTTGCAGAGGCTAAAAGCATTGTTATCCAAAATATAGGAGGAACCTTGCTCTTGGTCCAATTAATGACGAGTCCTTTGTTACCTGTACAGCCTAGGACACTGACACCCAAGTCCATGTCTTCACATTCATGTTCTCAGCACAAGCCTTGAGCTCAAGAATGTGCCAGTGTGTAGCAGGATGGCTGTGCCAACTCTGCACCAGTATCCTCTCAGTGTGGAGACTTTTAGGGGAACTTGTGGCCTTCTACAACTAGAAAGCAGTATTCTGCAACTAGAAACAAAATGGTGATTTTCTCTAATGGCCCTAGTTTCTGTCAGGTTTGAAGGCAAACACCCCAACTTTTCTGTTTCTACTTAATTTTAGAACATTTTAGAAGCAGCAGGGTTCAGGGATTGGCTCGAGCCTGCCCCAAATGGATTTGGTGTTTGCTGGAAAGTTAATTAAGAACAAAAATAAAAGTCCAGAGCGTTCATTCTGCCACCTTTTGTCCCAGAGGACACATGCCTTTCTCTCTCTGCAGGTACTAATGAGCCTTCACTGTCATAGCTGAGCCCATAGTGTCTCCTTCCAGTTGCACTCACATGTGCTTGGCATCTCACATCTTTGGGGTGAGTGTGATGCCTGGTTCATGATCAGCACAGAGCCATAAAGATATTCAGGCTTCTGTGGGAATCTTGATTTCTGGAGTTAAGAGCCACATGCTCGAAATACTTCTGACCACGAGGGTGTTGGTGAATCCTGCCCTTACAGATGGCCCTTTCTCCTCTGTCTCACATAAAAGCCCAGTTGAATATGGAGGACCAATTCCAAAGCCAATTGAAATATTCATATACATTTTTCTTTATAAATCGCAGCAGAAGCAATTGTATCAAAAGAAATGAATAGCCTTTTGCTGTATTTGTCAGCCAAACTTGGCAATGCTGGAAATCCTGACAAAAGTGGAGCTGGGCTGACTTGGGGGCTTTGCATTGTCCTGCCTGACAGAGAAACCCAACAACGCACAGAGAGCACAGTGTGCTGCAGTTCAAAAAGGCTTTTATTCCCAAGTATCTTGGATGCAAGTAGTAACATCCTTGAAGTGCTTGGGGTGCTGGATTTGGCTTTGGATTTGCTGGATTTACCTGTTCCAAATTTCCTGCTCCCTTGTAGCTTTTCTTTGGTATCCAGAGACTCAAAGATGCTACAACAGTCCTGACAAAGCCTGAGCCCCATTTCCCTTGTATATGGGGGAGATTATTATTTTTTTCTTTCTATGGGGGTTAAAATCGTATGCTGCTCACATCTAGGAATGATCACAGAATCACAGGATATCTCAAATTGGAATGGACCCATCAGAATCATCAAGTCCAACTCACTGCTCTTTGCAGGACCACCTGAAATTAACCCATATGACTAAGAGAACAGTTAAGGTAACCTAAGAACTTCTATAATGACATCACAGTATATTCAAAGCTACTCCAGGCAGGGAAATCTGTTGCAGTGCAAACAGTTGCTGAAACCTCTCTGTTAATCCAAAATCCATTGTACTCACCTGCACATCACCTCCAACTCCTCCAACCATTGGATCTTCTTCTAAAACCTTTACCATCTCCACGGATGAGGCTGGATCAAGCATTGTATCTGAATCACAGACCTACAAGCAAGACAAAACAAGAAGAAGGAAAAAAAAGGGTTAGGGAGTACACTAGAGAAGAAAATAAAAATCATGTGAGGGATTGTAGTGGCTCTATATGCATTATCTCCTGAATGCAATTAAATCCCCCTTTGGAGTCTGCATTGATACTTCTGCTTGCAACAGGCAGCAAGGACTGGTGCTCAGTGAAACAGAGCACTCCTTAGAGCTGGGCAGGCAAACAATCCTCTCTTCTGTATCAGCTCTATTTGTTTTACTGGCACACTGGGCTGGCTTCTTTGAATAAGAGATACACTGTCAGAGATGGGGCACTGCAGAGCAAGACAATGTTTGTAGGTGTGTAGCAGATTCC